GGCCCCCGGCCAGGAAAGCGGGTGCTGCCGCCCCCGGCTGCAGCACAAACCCCCCCACCTTCTGCCGGAGTCGAGCTCAAGCGACACCAACTTCCTCAGAGACGTGACGGCTCCGTTGCTCAAGCGAACGCGCCGGGCACATTCGCCGGGTGTCTCGCACGTTGAGTTTATCAGTTGATGATGACCTTGGCCAGGCACAGCCAGCGATGGATGAGAGAGGCAGAGCATCCACCACTCTGGAAAAATTATGCTTCCTGTACAGCTTGGGGTCTCGGGATCGGGCACCGCGCACATGAGCCGCACAGGAACAGCAGAAGATGCCCAGGAGTTCAGATGAAGGGCAGTGCAAGGCTCTCCCTTCAGAAAGGAAATGAAGCAAAGGCAGAAGAAGGAAGAGCAGCTGCAATTCTGCGCGTCGCTGATGGTGCACAGAAAACAGCAGAAGACCAAGGCTCTGAAGATTTTCTCTCCTCCTTGGTGGCTCCAGCCCTCCCACTTGCCATAAACACCCACCAGTTTGCTTTGCTGAGGAACAAGCTTGGAGTTGAGAGGAATCCAGGACCAATGCTTTGCTGGAGAACAGGGAACCCCATCCTCTGCAGCAGCAGGGCCCAGCGAGGGCAGCTGCAAACAGCAGCCAACCCACCTCCTGAAAGGACACTGCACAGCCAGAAGGATCAGATAAAAGCAGCAACAATCCAAATGGAATTTGTCCCCATGAGGGGAGCAGAAACAAGCTGGACTGTTGCCTTCTTCCTGTCAAGATAAGAGGGGCAGCAGCTCGCCTGGAAGGCTGGTAGCACCAGGAGCAGAACAGTGCAACACCAGTAACAGACCATGATCCAACCGCAGATGCTCTAGCTGCTAGGGAGCAGCGAGGGCACAGTGAGGAGCAGGAAGGGAGAGGCCATGGGCATGGACACCCTGCTCTAGTTCACGGCAAAGCTGCCCAGGAACACCAGTCCTGAGCTTCTGCTAGGGATAAAAATCAAAGACGGGAGAGAACTAAAGCCAGGGAGGAAGGATGAGCACAAGACCAGCTCAATCCCAGGGAGCTGGGGCTAGTTTTCCCTCCGCCAGCCTCAGCTGGGGTGTTGCCTAGCAGGCAGCAGCAATACAACGTCCACTGTCCTGCAGGTTACCAGCCGGACAAGGGCACACGCGGTGCGAGGTCGTACAGGGTGTTTCACTTTCCTTTTGCTCTCTGAATAGGGATACTCTTCTCCCTCCCTCACTCCTGACGCATTTGTTCCAGGCAGCTACCCGTACCTACAATTATTAGCCATGCCAGGGGATTTGGGTTAATGCAAAGAAAAGGGAAAGATTTTATTCCACCTACAAATCTCCTCTGGCTCGCGGCTGTGGGACTGTGGGGTGAAATCCAGCCCTGGAGAAAGGCAGAGAGCGAGAGCCCAGTGCCGCTCGTGTGCCAAATGCCCAGCAGGATGGATTTACCACGGCTGAAAGACGCTCCATTGCCTGGCTTTGATATTCTGCTTGGAGGAAGCGCTTTTGGGGGAAGGGGTGTCAGGCTGGCAGATGAGGGCAGGGATGGTGCCAGGGGACGGGCACATGCAGGCAGCAGCACAGCCTGGTTGGAAGCACTGAGGTCCAGGAGGGGTGCGGGACGCGGGCAGGGTTAGAGCATGTTGGAAGACAAGCAGCTGTGTCCCGGTGCGTCCAGGGGAGAAGGGACCTGGGAAAGGGCTCAGAGCTGCAGCTGCACGACATGGGCACCGCGGGCAGAGGCTCCTCCACAAACAGTAAATTTGTCAAAAACAAACAAACAAAATAAGAGTTCCAAGGGACAGAAAGCACTCATGGCTTCAGGTCAAATTCAGCAGATATTTTTAGCCAGAAGAGGGAGGGTTCTTAGACACCATTTTTAAATGTTACAGGATTTTTGTTCTGCAGTTGTCTAGATGAGAATTTGTTAGGTCCTTTCCAGCAAGGATGCCTCCATTCCAAAAAGCAGCACAGAAACATCGGAAGCGTTAAGCGACTCAAACAAAAATCTGCCAGGTTGGTCAGGATCACTTCGTTTCAGTGAAACCTCCAAACATCGCTGCTTCAGTTTGACCGAAGCAGTTTTCCTCTTCCCTGTGGGATTTCTTATTTCAGCCACAGAACTGAAAAATCCATTATTAGCCTGGCCATAACACAAACTTCTGCTGCGCAGCCCCAGCCCGCGGGCTGCCCAGCCCCACGGTGTGCTCACACAGCCCTGAAATAGTATTAAATAATATGGCACAGTCAGTTCTCAGCGTCCCTGCAGAGCTTTCCACTGGGAGCTAGTGGTGCACGGGATGCGACAGGGACACTTGTCTGCTCCTCAATGACCACATTATTTATCGTTAATTGCTAGATAGGGCTGAGTACAAATTACTTTCTTAAACGTTTAATACTTCATGGCCTGTTATCAGCCTCTGCGCTGGTCTCCAGATGAGTGTTTTAATGAGAAAAACTTTTCCTAAGGTCTCTTTTCTACAAATGGATGACCAGCTTTCCCTTTCCACAGCGCAAACCTCCTTCCAGAAACAGTGTGTGCATCTAGAGCAGGTGGCTGGACACGTTCCTCGCCCCTCGCCGCCGGCAGCAGTGAAACATCTCGGGAATAATGATGCTGACAAGACAGCTCTAAGCCTTGGCTGGAAAACCCTAGTGCAGTAGAGACGTGTTTTACCAGCGTACTTTTGTAACCTCCTCTATCCTCTTTTGATCTTGGCTGTACAAATAAAAACAGCCTTTCAGTACCAGCCCCTAAATCTCTCATTGCTGAAGCAACGATGTGTCTGTTGCCCTGCACTCCCAGCAGTGAGAAACTCCCATCCTTTTCAAGGAGTTTTACTTACTGGTCACCTCTGAGAGCAATTAAATGGACCTCAATGCCAAGACCAAGTTTAATCCAAAGTTCTCACTTACCAGATGAGAATGGGACTCCTGGATCTCCGTTTACAGCTGAAGGGGCTGTATGTGTCAAGCTAGAAAGCACTCGTAGGAATAAAGATGCTCGTGCAAATGGAATAAAAGATTTGGCCTAAGATGGGGTGAAAAAGCCGTGTTGGGAAAGGATCCTGAAGCAAGGTAAAACTACTACCCTGGAATTTCATCCCACTCAGGTGTGTGAACTGACCTCATGGAGAGTCAAGCAAACCTGCTAGAAACCCAGATTGTGGAAAAAAAAAAGAGAGCAGAGGAAATACTTGCTATTTTGTCAGTTCATGAAACCACTTCCCTTCTGCAAACATGCAAACGATCCCCTCAGAGCATTTCTGATCTCCTACTCTCGTCTCAGATTCCAGCGGAGCAGAAACCGATCTCAGAAGATTCAACTTCCTCAGCCAAGCGCTGCGAAAAGCACTTGTGGTACAAAGGAAAAGCGTTAGAGCGAACAGCCCGTGCTTGAACAGCTTGCTTGCAACAGGTGGTGTGATTAAACTGAAACTTAAAAATTCCGACCTGCTTCCGTAGCTGCTGCTGTGCCGCCAGCCTCCATCCCCAGAAAGCCCCAAACGAATGAATGGAAGAGGCACCCAAGGGCTCTCTGGAGCCGAGGTGGGTCTCCAAGCCCAGTGCCAGCGATGCCAGCAGCGACCTGAGCTGCTCTGCCCTCGCTCCCTCCTGTGCAGAGCAGGGCTGCTGCTCGGCTCTCGCTTACTCCACGTCCCCTGGAATTTCCACGCTCCGTGCTCCAGTGACACATGCAGCCACTCAGCCTTACATGTGTTTCCACTACCTGTTTTTATCATCTGCCTGATGATTAACGAAGACTTGCCCAAGCTAGGGGAGTTCTCCAATACAAGGTGTCAGAATAGGGTGAAGGGGTTGGGGTTTTTTTAAGGCATTTAAGTGAATTCATCACTCGTGCAAGGGAGATACAGACAAGCAGACTCCAGGAAAGCTGCAGCTTACAGAGTTCAGCTGAGATCCCTACACCAAATCTGCCCTGCTTCCACACAGCCTCCACTCCTGACCAGCCCCCTGAGCAGCCCCGGACTCCATCGATGTCTTATTCTCAGAGAATAAGAGACATGAAGGAGACTGAGACTAACAAGTCAGGTCCTGTGTAACACAAAGCCAGGGGTTTGGTGCCCTTACACTGAAGGAATCTGCTGCACCAACTCACTGGTGAATAAAATATATTCAACACATTTTTTCCCCAGTATATCACGATGTGCCTTGAATTAGAAAGAAACTAGTTTATGTCTTTTGATGCTGCGCTTGTGAGAAACTGTAAAATTCTGAAAACTGAGGTACGAATCCTTTCTCCTTCCCCCTTCTTTCACAGTGTGTGCACAGAGCTGACACCTTCTGACATTTGCATTTCCACACTCACTCAAGGTAAGCACTCAGAAGGAAAAGGTACGTGTACAAGCACCGGAATATGTCTTCAGCATTGTAGATGCAACAAATGGTGCTTTCAGTTCATTCATTACAGCCCTCTAAAACCTGGAAGCCAGCATAGTTAGACTCTAGTCCTAGCTGAAAATGTGACATATGTACACAGTCGTATTAAGATCTATTTAAGATTTTTCTGAAAGTATTATGACCTAAGCTCAGGAAGAGGCAAGAGTTTTCACAGAGCAGCCTGCAAAACTACTTCTCTAACAGGCTGGGAAGTAGGAGAAAGAGTGGCTGCTCCTATATTTAATTACCTGGGAGATGCCCAGACACCACAGTAACGGGGGATGTATAAATACCTACATAGATTAGCTACAACTACCCCAGACACACTACTACATCGCTGCGTAGTCCCCCCAAGAAGCCACTGACCCTCTCAAGACAAACATCCCCAAGAAACTGAGCTCCAAGGTGTATTTTGAAGTCAGAGGCAGGATATGGAAAACCTGATCCCAGTCCTGCAGTGAGTGAGTGCAAAACCTCTGGCATTTTCATCATCACCTGTGAGCAGCAAACCTCTGACAGCAATGCTAGACTAGGAAGGTCACAGTCTGGGATGTCAGGGAATGTGACTACACGCGTCCTCTCCAGTCTCTTACCTGAGCGGGATCTTAATAGCCAGGTACCTGTCGATGGCCACCGCCAGCAAGCTGAAAATGGAGCTTTGGGTCAGCACCAGCACGAAGCAGGCAAAGAAGAGGCAGCTGTGAAAATCCACCTGGAATCCGATGCTGATGGTGATGGCGAAAGGGATGGCTAACAAACCCACGGCGATATCAGCCACTGCCAGGGACACCAGGAAATAGTTGGTTGCGTTCTTCAAGGTGCTGTTGATGGCCACGGCCCAGCAGACCAGCACGTTGCCAGCGATGGACAGCACAGCGATGATCAGTTCCAGCACGATATAGGTGGTTTTCATAGTGTCCATGGCGAGAGCCCCGGGCGAGGAGCTGGAACCGTTCACGGGAAAAAGGTACTTTCCACCGGGCGCCCGTCCGCAGGTACCAACAGGCCACGGGGCAGCGCTTCCCGGAGAGAAACACCCATGCCCGGGCTCACCGCCGCCTCC